TTTTCAAAATAAGTTATCATGCAATTTAAATAATAAAATAAAAAATAAACTTTTTAATATTAATTAGGAGATAATTTTAATTAAATAATTTTTTTTATAATTTAATATAGTTTAGATTATAAATCAAAATTTTGTTCAAAACCTTACCTTTGTTTTTCTTTTCATTGAAAAAATGATACGGTTCATTTTTTTGGTTTTTGCCAAACCCTTCTCTAGTTCTCTAGTCGTCTGGTTAAAGAGTCAATTGACCAATTTCACAAGATGAGGCAATGGCTTGGCATGCCTCCAAACGCTTCTTAAGCCGTTCCATAATCACATGCAGCGACATCATCATCTTCATCGAGGCAATGCTAAAGATTGACATCATCATATTACAATTTATATGTAAATTCTTTTGTTAAAGAAATTAGGGTGCTATTTAATGAGACATTTGAATTTTTAACACTTTAATTTGACATATCGTATGTGTATAAATGAAAAATTATGTATCGTCTTGCCTCAAAAATAAATTTCAAAAAAAAGAAAAAAGAAAAAAAAAAAGAGGGAGTTTTAGTTTAAAAGACAAATCTCTCTCTCCCTCTCCTTTAAACTAATAAAAAGCTGTACTTTAATGCTTTTCGTTAGGTGTTTTAATGATTATGAGGATATCTAATTAGATTAATTGTTTAAATAATATATTTAATAGTTAATAATTAATATTTGATAATTAATAATTATTATTTATAATTAAAAGTATTTAATTTATACAATTAAAACTAATAAGCAACAACTAATAATTGTTTATGAAACTTCAAAACAATCGCTCATATTTCTTCCATAATTTACTCCCCCATGTCATGGCAATTTACTGATGAAGTCCATATGGTTATGCAAATATATCTCTAACCTTAGTTTGGCAGCTTAATTATGTTTCAACAGTGGTTGATAATAAAAGTTAATTTTGCCCAAAATTAGTTAGCCCCGCACTGATTCGGTACAGCTAAGGTGCAAAAAACAATAAAAAAAATTATATTGTCTATGTTTTAAAACGTTTTACAATAAATGATTTGTTTTTAAAAATTACACTTTTAAACAAAATATTATGTTGCTGTAATGAAATTTTAATCATGGCTATTCCTTCTACATAGCCATAAAAGACAATTTTATCATGCATGGTTGAAGACCTCTGTGCATGTGCATGGTGAGATTTCACATTAAAGACAGCTGATAACGATCTATCAGAAAAAAAAAAACAGGTAACGATCTAGACTCTCAAAGACTCAGACTTAAAAATCAATTCTCCGCTTTATTTGGAAAATGGCAGCAGGTTTTTCTATCGGTCCCTTGTCTGTCAATGGTTTGACAAATCCGCAAGCAATAGTGCTTTTCGTCTCATGCACTTTTGGGGGTTTGTTCATTTGGTTCGTGTGCTGCAGAAGAAGAAGAAACCGGGACCGGGAGTGTCAGCAACTTCAGCAACGGCAGCAACCGATGGATGGGATTGTCCGCGTAGTGGAGATGAGTATTCGCACCGGAAATTCTGAAAGAGAGGCTTCTGCTGGACCCCAGACAGCAAGGCTTCCGATGATGCATAAGCCCGCGGACTACCCTCGGCCGAGGAATATGGTACAATCCAGGGGTACTTAGATCGGAAGATACAAGAAACAGTTGACTCGATTTTTGGGTGGTGATCCACAGCTATAGTTTTCTGTTTTCTTTCAGCTATAATTTTTTGTTTCTTATAAATTTTCTGCTGTTTATCTGTTGCCTTTCATCTGTTTTAATTTATTTACTGTTTGAACCTCAACTGATATTATTATGATTTCGCGCAATTTTTTGGCTTATTTTTATCAAATTTCCCCTTTTCTTTTCTTACCTGCTGCTCCCCGAAATTCATATCCAACATCAAATTTCCTCTTTTTCTCTGGTTCCTTCACCATGGACTGCAAACGAGGAGGTTGCGATTTGCCCATCATTGGAATTCCGACCAGAGTTTTGGGTAACTCGGCGGTATTCTCCCATTATGGGTATTCAGAGGATGATTTGTTCTATCTCTGGGCAAAGTTACCCCGGGTATGGTTTATCCAGTTAGTGAAACTGATCTGGTAATATTCATTTTAATTGGAATAAAATATATGACATATTGAACTGATTGAAAATTTAAAGGCTTTTTTATGACAATTTTATTGCGTATTTTAAATTAATTTTAAAGGTACTTAGATTAAATCCGCCGAGCTTCATTAAAAAAAAAAAAAAAACAGCTGATCAATTGAAACCAACTATATCCTTCATAACTTATGCTTGTTGATCTATTGTCACAAATTAAAAAGGAAAAAAGGAATAGTTCATTTTCTGACGCCGATAATGGAGTCAAAGAAGTGGAAAAAAACAAACTTCAATTCCCTGGCTTTTTCGTGGTTCTGATTTTCCTCATCGTATGTATGCGTACAGAGTTATACAGGTTTAGCATAAATTGGTGAAGTCACATTAGGCTTCTGTTTATTGTAGGTAACAATAATTCTTAGTTGTATCACATTAAAAGAAAAACATTTTTAACTATATATATTTTTACATTAAATGATATATTATATAATAAACAATAATCTTAATTCCAAATCTCTTTCTACCATTCTTAAAATTCAAACTTAATATTTTTAATATAAAAATTCAAATGATTAATTACTAAAACGTCTTTTAAAAAGGTCAAAATCTTTATTTGCACCCTTCATTTATGTCATTTCTGCCATCAATACCTTTCAAAATTTTTCTTCTCCATTTACACTTTTCACTTTTTTAAATCTGTAAAAAATTAATATTTTAACAGACATTCACGTGTCCATTAATAACCGTTAAAATGCAATACATGACACCCGAACAGTACATAACACCCAAACAATATCATGGACATTATTAATCTGATGTGGATTTTTTTTAATGACGTGACATAATTTTCTGCATAGATGGACACCAAGTATAAAGTGGAGACCACTGTTAGTGGGACCCACTTCTCCCCCCACATCTCAACCAAAAAAAAAAACTAAAACAGCAACTTCATCCTCAATCTCAAGATCCCAATTTCGAGATCTAGGGTTTTTCAAATCCTTAACTTTGTAATCTCAAGAACCCAATTTTCAATTACTATGCCATCACTCTTGACCTCAAAGGCATTAGTGACACCGACACGCTAGAATTAGTCTCTAGCTACACTTGCTTCCACTTGGTCGACGATCTGATCGGCCTACTCGATGCGGTTGCTGCCAACTAGGAGAAAGTGTTTGTGGTTGGCCATGATTGGGGTGCAACCATCCGTTGGTACTTGTGCTTGTTCCGGTCAAACAAAGTCAAGGCTTATGTGAGCTTGAGTGTGCCTTTTTGAAGAATAAATCCGGTGATGAGAGTGAAACCAATTGATTCCTTAAAAGCATTTTTTGGCGACGATTATTACATGTGTAGATTTTAGGTAACACATGATTCTTCATCTTCTGATCTTCTGATCAATTTCAATTCCTTTTCTCTTAATCAATTGACATTAATTTGTAGGAGCAAGGGGAAATAGAAGCAGAGTTTGCACAGATTGAAACAAAGGAACTTATGAAAGAGTTCCTGACATACAAGCTTCCAAATCCTCTCCGTTTCCCTAAAGGTACCAAGTCGTTCGGGCATCCGCGAGAGAATCCCGTTAGATTGCCGCACTGGTTGTCGAAGAAAGATATCCAGTATTATGCCTCCAAGTTT